ATGATTATTTTTCGAAGATAATACTTTAGCACAATGTTAGCACAACTTAGCACAACCTAGCACAATAAAAAAAATTTCGAAAATCAAAAAGTGGGGGGCTACCAAAAAAAACGGTTTTTTCCATTTTTCTCGCTCATTTTTCGTATTAAAAATTTATAATTCGAGCACAATGTAGCACAAACCTAGCACAAATCAGCACAACTGTCAAAATTAATAAATTCGAAAAGTGGGGGGCTAACTTCATACAGGCGGATAATTTTCTGCATAGACGGCACTGATAAGCGCTTAGATGGATCGTACGTGAAAGAACTACGTTGTATCTATCCCCTTCTCCCCCCCCCCTCTCTCTCTCTCTCTCTCTCTCTCTCTCTCTCTCTTCATCAAGCAACATTAACCCATTGAGCGAAGGTGAGCTAGGAAGAAATCAAGCGGCGTGAGCGCGTATCAGCGAATGTAATCTTCGCGTCGGTGCCGTGCGTGTTCGCGCGGCTGACAGTAAATTCAAGATCGCGCCAAGTGGTATTACAGCACACTGTAATAACGCACATTTTTATGTACCCGCGCGCTCCTCGTGCAAATTTAGATAGGTGGTTCTCTCCCGCGTGTTTGTCCGCGTTGAGTAAATTCCGGCCGCGGCGATTTAAGACCCGCTGGGTCAATTGACTCAACCTGTGCGAGCGTTAAAGACACGCTACTACATCCGTGGACGTGACTCAAGATAATCGCGGTTACGTCGGGGCAAATGTAAAAACCGACTGTAAGAGCGCCGCTCCGTCGCAGGAAATCGTGACTAGGCAGAACAATCACGATAACGTCAACATGATGACAAAATGTAACCAGAACAAAATGTCGCGACTCGATCATTTTGGAGTCACCGTGATTTTCCGTCCCGTCTGAGCGCGGGCACTCCGCCGGCGTGAAGACAAATTGCGGAATCGAAAACACAGCGAGTCGCCGCGAACAATTTTAGCGCGACCTTTGACCCGTGTTATCCCCGAAGAATGTTTCCGCGGCGCGTTTCGCACAGAGGGAGCCCGGGGCAATACGCGTGCCTCGCGTCATCGCCGTAGACGTTACATTCGTGTCACGCGCGTAAATATGCACTTCAAAGTTCTGCTTCATGCTGCGAGTGTGCTGCAATTCGCACGCGTCCGTAGCTCTTGTGAATCATCCGCCGTGTCACACATCACGTTGCATAACGAAAGATCACGTGACAACGGCAAGGAAGTCGCATATGATAATGGTTTTCAGGAGACCCCGACGAAGTCGTCCTCAGATTCTCTCTCTCTCCTCCCTCTCCGCCACGGTTTTACAAATGACGCATGTTGCCGTGCAACGCAAACTTGAATCGCAATCGGTCGAAAATAACGTTGGTTCTCGAATTGGCATGACGTCCTACGTCAGACGATATTACGCAGACAGACATGGTCTAAGCCGCTAATGTTATCGGAAAGATCCGCGAATATTCGCGAAAACGACCGACGGATCTTGACGCGCTCCAATTTTAACCGCGTGCGATCATCGTGTGCCAGAATCGATCGCGTATCCTTCGCGAGGCCGCTCGCGCAAACGCCATTTCTACGATCGCTAAAATTTGCCTCATCCACGATAACCCACGACGCCAGGCATGTGGTCGACCCGAATGCCGTAGCTCTAATAAAATGAGATTCACCAGCGTTTACGCGAGGCACGTGGCTCAGCAGAATGAGGCGGGGGAGAGGAGGGAGGGGAGGGGGAGAGAGAGAGAGAGAGTCACGACAAGGCTCCCGCCCCGTCGACCTTCGCTGTCGTTCGCGAACGTAACTATCGAATGTCTGAAAATGTAAGCAGCCGTTTAGCTAACCGACCGGCCGCAAATGACGTTTCAGAGCTCGCGATTATGCTGCACCATTGTGCGATTATGCGCGTCGAATAAGTAGTCTCGATCTCACGTGTTAATCCGCATCACGGATAAACAGGAAACCGCTTGTTCCATATGGACTCCCCAGTTGCGCGTATCGGAAAACGGCACAGCGTGTCGATCCGTATAGACAACACAACAATCATCTTTATCTCGAGAGACTATACTCTCGTGACTGTAGCTGTCGCCGGCGACGATCGACCTGATATTTATTACCCAAAGGATAATGCTCCACATTGCACAAGCAGACAGGAGCCGTTACCATCGGATTTACGCGATTCTCTCTCTCTCTCTCTCTCTCTCTCTCTCTCTCTCTCTCTCTCTCTCTCTCTACTCTGCCAAACCATAACTCATTTCGAATTTATTAACCTAAAAATATCTAGATCATTTTCTGACTATCGTTAACCTGAGCAGTAGTATTGGGCGTTAATCGATAAGAAGGTTCTTCGACTAAGGTTCATATTAATAGCCGTTATTTTAAACCTATCTTACGTGAGATATTCAAATCTGAATTTAGTGTTAGGTGAATTTTTTATTTGAATTATAGTATAATGCACGCGTGGCATTATATTCGCAATTGTGACTCAGCTGAACACTCACATTTAACTCTAAATTAAAATCTGAGTATCTCACCTGAGACGAGTTTCAAATAACAACTATTGATACGAATTTAAAATAATCAGTAAATCGGTTATCAATATTCATCAATATTCATCGTCACACATAAAATCACAAATAATCTTATCGAGTTTGATCGATAAAAGGAAAGGTTTAAAGTTTCATTCCTAATTAATTGCATTAGTTGATAAAATTATTTGAGATTCAATACATGACGATTAATTGATTTTGATTGTTGATTTGCCGATTATTTTAGTAAAAAAAACATTTTTTAAAACAATATCCAACACTGCTTGACAGTTTATGTTGCGGATAAAATTTGAAACGGTTTGTCGATTCGAAAGTTTGATCGGCGAATGTTTACCAACAAACGTTCATCGTGTTGCGATCATATTTTTATATGAAAAAAATTATACGATTTATTCAACAGAGTGAATTTACAAGGACCAATGTTGCGGTTGTGGGTTCGTAAAAGAAAAATGTAAAAATATAATGTTGCGGTTGTGGGTACGTAAAAGAAAAATGTAAAAATATAACAGAGATATTCGCCACACGGGGATATATGTGTGTGCGTGTGCGTGTGTGAGCACCCTGTTAGGAAAAAAAATATATTCTCTCTCGAGAAATAGAAGGATCACTTACGACATAAAGTCGATACGAAAGCAGATGCGGATTCGCAGGGGCAAATTACGACGGCGTGTTCTCAGTGACAAAAATACAGGGCACGGTCGGGTCGATGCAATTTTTTTCCACTCATACGATTATCTCGTTTCACCACTTACGATAGAAATGATAGCCCGGAACGCTATTAATCCTTTCACTGCTAGTGACAAGTATACTTTCCACTTGTCTTTTTTTCATTTTTATTTTGTGAAATTTGTAATTTCGTAAAATTAATTATGATTTTGGGATTTTCATATATATCAACTTTATTTTTCATATATTTTATATTGTAGCTTTTCATTTTCTAGTATTATTTTAATCTTCAAAAACATGTTTTTGATAAATATGGATTCAACGTTTATATATTTAATTAATTATTTATATATATATTTTTTATATATTTAATTTACCAATAAATGCTAACCATATTAAATTTTTAAAATCAGACTTTAAATTCGTAATCAGTGCCCCAAAAAACGCACAAATGCAAATCATAAAAATCAGTTAGAAAAAAAGAATTATGACAGTGAAAGGATGAGTTGAGATAATCGCCAGAGAAAAGGCTACACGCGGACGTTTTTCTCCTCTCTTTTTGCTTCCTTCAATCGCATGTTACCACGGCGCTTTCACGAGCACTGATAAACTTATCGTAATCGACCACACAAATTGGGCCAATCGATCGACATAATATCAATACGATACAACGTTACGTTAACCACCGTATCACATTAAACCGCATTATTTATTACATAAATAATGCGATATTTATGAATAAAAAATTGTAGATAATATATTTTCATCAAGTATTCAAATGCAGAATGCGTCGTGTAATTGGATGATCGCACTCGGATCATCGTACTTTATGACAGGGACAAAAGTTACACGAACGCTGGCCTTGCTCTATCACGTCAATACGAATAATCAATTGTTACCATTAACGGCAATTAGCACCGCGTATACATACATAATAACGACGAGGCGTGCACAGCACGGTGCCAGCGGCCATACGACATTCAAATAGCGGCCGGGAGGCGCTAATTCGAAAACAAAAATGGCCCTCTGTATTAACACGATCACGTGACCGCTGCGAGACACCGCCGGCCATCAGAACGGACCGATCGAAAGAAAACATCGTTGTACTCACCCTGGAGATGCGCAGGGGTTGATGTGAGTCGCATCCGCCGTGCATCCGGAAGCCCCATGGGGAGCCGCCGAGGAGAGTGACTTCTCTGGCGCTCATCCCGCCTCGACACTCCGCTCGTGCTCCGACACACACGTATCCGTTTTTCCCGCGTCGTCCGCGAGTCTATCGCGAGTCTCGAGCTCGCATCGTCGACACGAGAGGGGAGGAAGGGGGGAGGGAGTGAAGCACAGCCCAATCACTCACGAAAACAACGACGTGGGATACCACAAATCTGACGGCGGACGATGGTCAAGGGTTGTCGTCGAGGCACGCGAACGCTACGACCACCGCTGAATGAGCCTACGGTGGTGCGTGACGCGGCGCGATTATGCCCACTGACGCAAAAAACACGAAAACGACGCGCGCGAGACTTCCGTCCCCGTTCGTAGCTCGCGGTACACTGACAGCGTGTCACCCTTCTCCGGCTATTACTACGACCCCACGCGCAACGTAATCAGCGTACTTCACGTCGCTCGCAAGGGCGCATGCTCCCTCTGTGTCTCTTCCTCTGTCTGTCTCTCTCTCTTTCTCTCTCTCCCTCTTTGTTCTCTCTCCCACAGGGCTGTTACTGTGAGATTTCTCTTTATCTCGAGCAAATGAAAAATCTGTTCTTTTTAGCTTTATTCTCCCCGCATGCGTGCGTGTGTATATGTTAAGATTTAAGGGTAGGAGGGAACAGAGGAAGCTACAGAGAGTAAAGCTAGAAAGAGTGACTTTGAATATCTATCGAATACCGCCAAGAGAGAGAGAGAGAGAGAAAGAAAGAGAGAGAGAGAGAGAGAGAGAGAGTTTAATGTTTGTGGCATATTTTTTATTGGGAAAAGCTATTGACGGGGAAATTGTATCGCGAAATTGTATTTTCGACATTCCCGTTCTGCGAGGGTCTAGATTTCGACATCGGTTATTCCTCGAGTCATATATTCCATCCGTCGCGCGCTCACCTGTGCAGTTATCCTGCTGCACGCTTTATCGTTGTCCTCCCGCACCACGGAGCGTATTCCCGGAACATTTTCACGCGCGATCAACGCTGACGACCGCTCGTTTCTCACAGCATTTGTCGTGTAGAACGAAGGAGGAATCTGCCGCGCACTATTGCGTTCTTCGACGATCTCGTAACGACTCACGTCTCCGCGCAGTGATACCATTCTTCTATCACTGATTCGCCCTAAAAATGAAATATTTCGATCAAACGCAATGTCGTGAATTACTATTGTGATATACTAGTGATTAAACTAGTAATTATTTTATCAAGGTAGAGTGAATTCAAAATTTTAAATTTGAAAATTTAAACATGGCCAGAAAGTAACTATACGTAGGTACTAGTGTTTTATGTAACTTTATCGTAAAATAAATTTTATATTTTCTTCGGAAATGTGCTAAAAATAAATATATATAAAACGAAGAAATTACTAGTTCTCTCTGCTTAGACAGAATTATAATGAACGGCGTCAAGAGCGGAGGAGTCAGAGATACACTTCGCGCAGAAAGAAAGAAAGAGAACTTTGCAATCACGTGATCATAGCGAACGGACGATTCAGGTTATGTTCACCACACACGGTTTTACTGCGCGATTGAGACACAATGTCGACTGATAATACTGCTGTTACAGGCAAAAGTTCCAACTACAGGAATGACAGGAATCGCAGCAATTTTACATCACAGCCGAGAGGTAATCTATAATTTATAATTTGTCACAATGGATACAATTGCAGTTGCTGAAATGTGATTATTGTTGTTAAGGTGATCGCCAGAATTATTCTCGCAGAGGAGGCTACAAACGCAGATTTGAGTCATCTTCGCGAGAAGATTGGAAGAAAAACAGGTTGGACGTTGGCAATAGACTCAAAGAATCTGACATAGGTATTACAGAATATATCGGCAAGCACATGGGCTTTTCCGCAATAATCAAAGAAAGATACACTGACTTTCATGTCAACGAAATTGATCTCAATGGGCAAGTAGCCAAGCTAACTCATCAAGACATTCCATGTGAACCAGAAGATGATGAAGATATTGAGGATCTGAAGAAGTTGATACCATCAGCGATATGGGATCAATTGCAAACTTTGAAGCAGGATAATTCCTCTTCAGATATAACAGAAATTGATGTAACAAATCTAGACAAATTTGAACGCAAAGCTATTCATACAGTTGCAAAGAAACTGAATGCTATCAGTCAAACAGTAGATAAAGATGACAAAAAAATTATCACAATTGTGCTAAATAACCAAGACGATAAGATTGGTATGTTGTAAACTTCACTATATGGTTTTTTTTTTACATATATACAAGGAATGTTCCTCACACTATGATTCTTAATATCTCTCCTTACAGCTAAAAAAATGTGCAGAGACAACAGGATAGATTGGAAGAGACGTGGTGGCAATTATTGCCATTTCTTATTACACAAAGTAAACATGGATACGATGGACGCTTTGAATCAATTGGCTGCAAGTCTGCGAATTCGACCTGATAATTTCAGTTATGCAGGCACGAAAGATCGTCGAGCATGGACGACTCAGTGGGTGAGTCTGAAGAAGGTAGATCCCCATGACATACTGAGGACTGGTAGAACTATACATGGTATATATGTGGGAAACTTCAAGTACGCCAAAGACAGTCTGAAATTAGGTATGCTGCACGGCAATCAATTCAGAATAGCATTGAGAAATGTGCACGGCTCGGACGAAGAGATAGAGCGAGCGATGACGTCACTACGCGATAATGGCTTCATTAATTACTATGGTTTGCAAAGATTCGGTACAGTAGCTACTATACCCACGCATGAAATCGGAAAGCGTTTACTGCAAGGTGATTATTACAGTTTCTCTTTATATGAATATCATTCCAGCGAATTATTACCGTCAATCAATATTCTTTCCAATTAGGTAAATGGCACGAGGCAATAGAATTGATTTTGAAACCGCGGGAAAGAGAGCAAGATAAAGAACTGGCAGAGGCTAGACGGATTTACGCAGAAACTAAAGACGCGCATGCCGCTTACACAAAGATCAAAAGAGTCGATAAAATCGAAGCTAGGCTTCTGAAAGGTCTGCAAGTATCGGGTGACAAGAATCCCGTAGGCGCGCTCGACTCTGTTCCTCGGAACATTCGACTGATGTACATCCATTCGTATCAAAGCTTCGTTTGGAATCACATCGTATCGAGAAGAGTAAAGCAATTCGGTACAAATGTAATCGTGGGTGATTTGGTTTATGACAAACAAAATTGCAAAGAGGATACTACTAACGAGATAACGGATTATCTTCCGAATGATACTAATGATGTTAAAAACGAAAGTGATGTTGTCTTTAGCGAAAAGAAAGATACCGATTCAACTGCAGAGAAAGAAACCAAAGAAAAATCGACTAAAGCGACTGAGGATTTAACGGAGGAACACGAAAGCACATACGAACTTCCCATGGTAAAAATTCTTACAGAAGAAGATTTACCAAACTACACTCTATCCGACGTTGTCATACCTCAAGCTGGATGGAAAGTTACGTACCCGTCTTATGCTAAGCCTTGGTATGATGAATTCTTAGCCAAAGATGGATTAACAACCGATCTCAGACAGAAAAATAAGTATGTGCTTTTGTCTACACATAATTTGGTATACAATGTATCATTACTGTCATCTGTTATTTTTTTATTAGGAAATATAGTTTAGGTGGTTCCTATAGAAAAATATTAGGAATACCAACAAATCTCTCGTGGCAGATTATGCGTTATAACGAGAAGCATGATGATCTTATGTTATCGGATATTGATGAAATGAGGAAACGTATGCCTCCACAGGATAAATCAGGTAAATCGAATATCCCCCGCGTTTGTTTCTTAAATACTCATTCACTCTATCTGCTTTCTTCAGATGGAAAGAACAAGGCGTTGATCATCGAAATGTGTTTGAAATCTAGCAATTATGCTACAATGGCACTGCGTGAAATCTTAAAGAACGATACCTCAGCAGAAACACAAGCTGCACTGTCTGCTTCTCATTGTACAGAAACTACACAAACTGATACAACTACTACAGAAAAGATAACAGATAAATCTGGCAGTACAGACTTGACAAAATATGAGAAAGACAATACAGAAGAGAACCATGACACAAAATCTCATGAAGACTCGATTAATGCAAAAAATGATTAAACAATGAAAGAAACAGAAGATTTTGTGAAGTTGACACAAAACTCAACATAAAATATTAATTTTGTAAACGCAATAAATCATAACTATATAAAATGTGCAAGTGTTTCTCTTTATAAAAATAGGAATATTCTAGTAATTGGTAAATGTATGTATTTATGAATCTGAGTAATCTGCACGTTTAATTTATTAGAAAATAGTCACTGATGTGTATTCACAGACAAGCGGCCATCAAACCCGCCACATTGTCGAAATCAATTTTTTCCGTAATATTCTTAGTCTTGATCTTTTCGTCTTGATTCGCGACAAAGATGATCACTTTGCTCTCTTCCTTCCAGCCATATTTCTTCACCCAATGTTTCAACGTTGCATCTGCAATGCAAAATAGTTTAATAAATTTTAATGCTATAAAAAGCTGTAAAAAAATATGCAGACTATATCATACCATCTACACCACCAAGCAGTTGTAACAAGAGTCCCTTGTCTATTGTTTGAAACGTGATTCTAACTACATGACACACAAACTTTCTTATCGAATCTTGGAAACCTACAATTCTATCGCAAAGTTCTGACATAGATAATACTCTGTCCCAAAAATGTTGGAATTCACATCGTTCTAAAATATCTCCCAAATACATAATCTGACTGATTGGACTCTCCGACATCTGCAAAGATTATTATAATAAATATACATGCATTAAATGAAAAGGAACAATCGTTTTATAACTTTGAAGAAGCTTACAAGTTTCTCACTGAGCAGGCATTTGCACAACACAAAGTCGGTATGTGGGAGATTGGTTAGAGCTTTCAACAATATCTGGCATGTTATATCCATGTTAAATCGATGAGGATTTAACTGGTAGAGCTTCAGAACAGCTAGATTTGCTTCTAAATCATAGGCGTTCTCTCTCGATTGTATCTCCACGTACTTTTCTAAGGTTGTGAGATTATCTGGATTGTACCTGGAAACATTTAGATAATATATAATAAAAAATTAATTATAGGTAAAAGTATAAATTATATCTGCAGATCTAAGTTCTTATCGACTATTACTGCCTATGTAAATAATAGACTTCTACGAATATAATGCATAATGAAGACAATACCTTTCAATGCCTTTAAGCATACCAGCCACGGTTTGACGCATTGCCTCAGCCATTTCTGCTAACAAAGAATTTTAATTGTTCTTGTAATCAAAAAGTTCTTCTTCAGTATTTTGGCTAACAAGTTCTTTTTATCCAATTGGCAGTAACTAAAAGATGTTCGACAACCCTAAATTCAAACACGAGGAAACGTCAATAGGCAATATAAATAGGTTAGAAAACGTGAAGGAAACTTCAGTGCGTTCCGAAATTCACTGCCAGTACTGAAATTCTATAGTTCATTGGTCTGTTCTTTTCAGCTGCACTGCTGAACTGGTGCATTTCTATGTACATATGTATCAAGATGTGTAAAGCGTCTTCTACAATGGCAGTAGGAGTAGTAGTAAGAAATAAGCAGTAAACAAATTGACCAATTCCATTCTCATGTTTCAAAAATAATCGATTGTGATTAGTCTGTTTACTTACTGCTTATTTCTTACTACTACTCCTACTGCCATTGTAGAAGACGCTTTAAGCAATTGGAAAGCACTCAGCTTAAGTAATTTTGGGTTGTCATGAGTCACATAATAGTAGTAGATAGTGATGTCTGTAACTTATTTCTGCTCTATGGAAGTGACTAGGAGAGGTATTATCGGAACACCCATAGATGGAGGATTTTAACCTTTGCGATGAAAGGGGGAGCGTCCCGATTGACCACGGTACGATTGGACACAACCAACCGATGAAAAGAATTATCTAGTGAATTACTAGGTCGAACCAATCATTACAATCTGTGTCCAATCGTATCGTGGTCAATCGGATCCCACTCGATGAAAGGTCCTTATGGATAGGACTATGTATTTCGTAGTAGAGAATGCCGGATTGTTACGCGAAATATTGTAAAAGCCGGAGAACCGAGAAGCGGAAAAATAAAATACAACTAGAATGGGAACGTAAAAATGGTACAAGACTATCATTTCACAGGTATGTTTTAATATAACAGACAGCTGCAATAAAAAATAATACAGTATATATTTTATTTTATTAATAGTTAACGTTAATTATAGGATACCTAAAGATTCAAAAAAACGTAAAAAGTGGCTCGATACGATGGAGTTGAGTAATAGGGATATACCAGAAATTGCATACATCTGCTCCTTACATTTTAAAGAAAGTGATTTGGACAGGACATCGCTTTCTTCTATCAGAATCAGGCCTGGAGCTGTCCCATTTGTATATACAGACAAAATTAAGCAATATCAGGTATTTAATATTTGTATAGACAAAATTAAGCAATATCAAATATTTAATATTTGGTAAAAGTATGTATTTTTATAGGGATATTTAAATGTAAATAATGATGAGCCACCTGTAAAACAGGAAAAACTGATTAAAACAGATTTGCTAGGAGAAATAGAGAATTCCATGGAAATTGAAGAAATATGTGAACACAAAGAAAAATGTAGATAGATTAATTGGGATATGTAAAACAAGTGCTTATATGGGAAAATATGTTTACAATAACTTGAGTAATAATCTTATTGTTATATCCTCAGGTTTACTAAAAGTAGAGAATCCCATAGAAATTCAAGAAATATGCGAAAATGCAGAAAACAGTAAGTTAATTGAAATAAATAACACCTGGATAACACAGACAGTGCAGAGAGAATTTATTTCTATGTCAGCAAATATGAGCTTATATTCATCTGCAAAAATAAATCTCAAAATCGTTTTTTATGAAAAGAATTCTGTTTGCAGATAGATATGAACTCATTTACTGACATAGAAATTAATTCTTTTTGAACTGTCTGTGCTATCAGGGTAAAACAATCCAGGTAGCAAGATGAAATCTAAATATAGATAAAGACGTCTCAGTCCCATATTCATAGTCAGGCCATAAGGCCTGATATAAATTTAAAGGCCTAAATATAAATTTAAAGCCTTCTTCAGTTTATCTTCAGATATTCTGTAAGCAATAAAATGATCTGTAGAGCATCTGAAGATGAATTAAAGGATGCCTATATATAAGGCCTGACTATGAATATGGACATTAATGACGTATTATTGACGTCTTAATGACATAGTAAAATGTCTGGGACATGCTTATATGGAAAAATATATTTACATCGACGTGAGTAATACTTTTATTATGTTTATTTAATAAGCAACAATTCCGTTTAGTTTCATCTAAACAGAATCATCTGTTTCATCTGTTTATCTACTTCGCAATTTATACAGTTTCCCAACAAGGATTTAGTACACCACCTAGATCTATTAATCAAGAAACAGTTGTTTCGCCATACCTATCAGAAAATACACCACGGAAACAAATGTTAAGAAATGCGCTAATGCATATGAAGAAAGAATTCCGAAAGAAACTTCAAATTGTTCAACAAAAGCAACAGCGAACCATGAAGTATGTTGCGAAAATGAAAGATATATTGACATCTCTAAGAAACAAAAATCTTCTGAATGCAGAACAATTGGATGTCTTAAAAGATTTAGGTAAATTTAATACACAATTACTGAAACGTCAAATATGTAAAATTATTAAAACTTCGACGTCTAAAAAATATACGGCAGAATTAAGGTCGTTTGCCTTAACTTTACATTTCTATTCGCCACGAGCATACGCATTTGTTCGGAAAAAATTTGATATATGTTTGCCCCATCCAAAAACAACCAGCAAATGGTACAAGTCAGTTAACGGCGAACCAGGTTTTAATCAAGAAGCACTACAGTCACAATTAAGAAACATGTTAAGCTAGTCAATTACCCTCTTTATGGTGCTCTTATTTTCGATGAAATGGCCATAAGACAATACATAGAATATGATGGCACAAAGTACAGTAGATACATTGACTTGGTGCCTGATATTAATAGCAACAATAGTGAAAGATGCTAGTGTTTCTCATAAATTGTATTAATGGATCCTGGAAAATTCCCATTGAATATTTCTTAATTTCTAGTCTTAATGCAGGACAAAAGTCCAATATGGTTCGTCAAGCATTAATAACATTGCATGAGCATAGTATAAATATAATATCTGTAACTTTCGATGGAGCTTTAGGTTGCGTTCCGTTTCACGCATTATGCGCGCATTGCCTACAATATACGTAACATGAACTATAGATAAATGCGCGCATATGCGTGAAACGGAACGCAGCCTTAGTGAATTTTATTGTGTGCAATACTAGGATGCAATTTTAATCCCATGTTTTTTCAGACTTACTTTTCTCATCCAACAACAAAGGAACAAAGAAATGGACAACAAAGTAACTGTATTCCTTGACTCGTGCCACTGTATCAAATTACTACATAATTACTTTGGAAGCCATAAAATGCTGATTAATGACAACAATGATATGATCCGATGGGAATATTTCACAAAACTCCATAATATTCAAGTTAACGAATGTTTGCACTTGAGTAATAAAAAAAATCATGAACAAAATACATTAGAAAACCATATATTTCATAAGAACAATCGCTGCATAATATATTAAAATTCGGTTATACTTCATAGGTCGTAATCCGTTTCATAATAATGTTACAAGTGTAAGATAGGCGTTTAACAAAATAATTCTGTTTAAAGGACAGTAAACTATATTAAAAATATGAACAGAGATTTATAATATAATAAACATAATGTTAACGTAGAACGAAAGAAAAGATAACGACCGTGGTACTGATTACGACTGCCGACTCTCAATGGACCAATCACAGTGAGGCGCCGATCGGTGTCTTATTGTGATTAGTCCATTGAGAGTCGGCAGTCGGCTCGGCCTGTGCAGTCGGTAGTCTGATACGGGCTTTAGGATGAAATTACATGCAGAGTGAAAGAGCTACGAAATGGAGAGTACGTCATAGAAGCAACCAATCAGCAAAGAGCGATATAGCGCTGATTGATTGCTTCTATGACGCACTCTCTATTCCACAGCTCTTTTACTCTACATGTAATTTCACCCTTAAGGCCTGTTCTTTGTAGCGCACTGCTGAATTAGTGCAATAAGTTAGAGTGAGAAAACGGGTGAGATCCGATTGACCACGGTACGATTGGACACAGATAGTAATGATTGATTCAACCTGGTAATTCACTAGATAATTCTTTGCATCAGTTGGTTGTGTCCAATCGTACCGTGGTCAATCGGGATGCTCCCTGAGAAAACGTATATTTGTCTCACTTTAATATATTGCACCAGATCAGCAGTGCAGCTACAAAGAACAGGTCTTTAATCTGTTCTTTTTAGCTTCACTGCTAAACTGGAGTCGATTGTGTATCTCGAAACGGAGTGAAAATTACAAAAGTGAGCAAATTCACTAGGCATTGTCCAATGAAGTTACAAATATGCTAGTAAGTATTTGCTCACTTTTGTCATTTTCACTTCGTTTTAAGATACACAATCGACACCCAGTTCATCAGTGCAGCTGAAAAGAGTGAACCAATTGTAGAATTCAAATAATAGAGAAGAAAAACAGTATTTGCAACACGATAATAGAGAAAAAACAATTTTACAAAATAAAACTTGTAAAGTATGGCTAAGCATCATCCAGATTTAATTTTCTGTCGTAAACAGCCGGGAGTAGGTAGGTCGAAGTTGTCTAACCTCTATCTGCCAGTATGATTAATATAGTTTGTATTTTAGCTATTGGTCGGTTGTGCGAGAAATGCGACGGCAAATGTGTCATTTGCGATTCCTACGTGAGACCCTGTACATTGGTTAGGATATGCGACGAGTGCAATTATGGTTCTTATCAGGGACGTTGTGTGATATGTGGTGGTCCTGGTGTATCTGATGCATATTATTGTAAAGAATGTACAATACAAGAGAAAGATGTAAGTTGTTTATTAATTTGTGTAAAACTAAAAATTCTTTCAGTAAATTAAATATCTTAATCTATTTTTTTTAGAGAGATGGCTGTCCTAAAATAGTCAATTTAGGAAGCTCTAAGACAGATCTCTTCTACGAGAGGAAGAAATATGGATTCAAAAGAAGATAATCTTACCATGTTGAAATACTATTTTTTGTAAAATTCTTGCTAAACACATTGAGCATCAGGTAATTTATTACTTTTATAAGAATACAATCACAGCGCAATAACAACTTCGTTGTTATATAAATAACTATACTATGGTGTATTGCTAGATATTATTTCAACAACTGTAAAAACAAATCCTACTTGCATACAGTTCATTATATAATTAAATTGCAACAGGTGAATGTTTCACTTCTAAATATTATTATTGTAAGCATAGTTTGTTAGGACAAGTAGTCAAATGCTATATATATATATATATAATACAATAAACAAGAATCAGTGAATAGTACGATACAACAAAAAAATTCAATATTGTCATTCTTATTAAAAATTGGATAAAATTGGACAATAAATATATAGTTGGTATAAAATCTATCCAATATAAAACCGCGTTATCGTGCAACCGTATAAAAATATATATATATATATATATATATATAAAAACTTCTCTCATGAAAGAAGTCTATCAAGCTTATGTTAAAATTAACAGTGGTTCCTCTGATGGAGGTAACTCGTTAGTTTCCTGCGTTTCGACAAATTCTCGTTTTATAATATTTCCTTTCGCGTCTACCTCATCAATAGATATTAAAATATTAGATATAACAGGCATAGTTCCATCAACATCAATCGCTACCATTTCTTCTTGTAAGTTCTGTTCAGTTTCCATCTCGTTCGCGTTATCCTCCATGACCTAGGCAAGAATTATGTAAAGAAATGTTAGATATGATATTAACTTAATTCACTTTATTTAACTTAATTCACTTCTAATCTCTCGCCGTAGCTATCTTGATTTATGATGTCGAAAACGAGAAAATACACGTTAAAAATTCCTTTGAAATACATTCAAATGAAATTATATGTTTACAAAATGATGATAATTGCAAGCTTAAGCAGACTTGTAAAATAGTTCGAACACTCTTTTTGTTTTAACAATCAATAAATAGTCGTAAAATTAACATAAATCATGAGAAAATATAAGTTGAAAAGGAAATTTGCATGTCACTAATTTTATGATTGTTTTTGTCTGAACAAAAGGAAAGTGTTCATTCAGACTATTTCAAAAGTCTGCTTGATCGATCGTGTCATTTTTTACATATTTTTATTTCTTTCTATTTTGCAACAATTTTTAACTTCCTCGCTTCTGATGTCGTCAATCGAGTTCCGCGAGGAACCAAAAGTCTTAATACTCACCTTCACTTCCATCAATGGCGTAACGTGGTTCAGTTCTATTTTGTATTTCTTATCCGGCAATATTGCTTCCTCTACGGGCGACACGTTCTCTTCGTCCACGGCTTCGTACCTGACCATCTGTATTCGGTAACATCCGTCTTCGTCCTGTTTATAGTGGAAACGCTTGTGGCCACTGGGCAGTTGCAACTGATGGGCCTCTGTGAGGTGTCTTGTTAATCTGGCACTCGTCCGATATCTGATCGGACATTCGTGACAACAATACCATCGCATCATCATACTATGTGCTCGTTCCAAGTGTCTGAAATAATTAAAACAATCATGATAGATGGTCGCAGCTTTATCGTTGTCTCAGTAAAAACTTTTTACAAGTACCTGTCCAAAGTGTAGGCCCCTTTGCACGTGAAATGACATCCTTCGAATTGGCAGAAGAAATTTGGACCGTTGGTATGAACACTCATGTGATAATCGAGATCCTGCTGCGATTTCGCGGCGTGAGAGCACAATTGGCACGGAAACGTCCTGGTCGATATGTGCCGATACCTGACGTGCTTCGCCAAGCTGGCCGGCGATTCGCAGCTCATGTCACAGAGAGTACACTTGTAGTTGAACACATGAAATCTCATATGATCCCGCAGAATTCTCTCGGTTGCGTAGAACTTCTTGCAGTGCGAACATCGGAATCCTTGTACTGTAAATCATTTATGCGTCTTGTTATCGCGCGTAATTCGTCATGTTGCCATCAGTACTAGTCAAACAAAAATGTAAGAAACTTGAAATGCGTGATTTATTCTTTTACCTTCTATGGGAATTTGCCGTTGGCAGTGTATGTGAAATTTTGTCTTAGAGGCAAACGTAGCACCGCAGTCTGGACATGCGACTATCTTCTCCTTGGTGTGGCATCTCATGTGATCCCGCAGTTTATATAAACTCGGATATTTGCCGCTGCATCCGGTCCATTTGCATTCGACTCCGTTCTGAACTCGATTGCCCCGCGGGTAACTCTCCGTATGTATAGTAACGTGATACAAGTACATCTGGTAATTCGTGAAAATCTTCAGGCATTCTTCCCATCTGCACATATGCGCAGGTGGAGTTTCCACGATGTTCTTCCAGTCTAGGTCTCTATGGCATTTCTATAGGAAACAATACAATCATTATTCTCTAGTGTTTGTTCTCATTAATGTAACTGTATCTTGAGGCTCCTGGTCCCATTGCTGTAAAATGGCTTGATGACATCAAAAATGAAAAAATGTATACTAAAAACTCTTGCCATTTTCAAATAAAAAAACACATTTGTATGAAGGAATACTTTAGATCACTTGAATATATTTGTAAAATGTCCTGAAAACTATGCTTTTCCTTTATATAGTCAATAAATATAGCAACAATAAATAATAACTTTAAAATTAATGTGACATGCAATCTTCTTTAACTTATGTTTTCTATTGCTTGGTTAAGTTAGTACTAATTACACTAACTTGCATTAGTTCTCTTTTCTTCTTATATCTGTTTCTATAAGTGCACACTAGTTTGGTGATAAAAGAAAAAAATATATCTACCTTTCTTCATGATTTTACCATGTTAATGTTAAAGCTTTTTCATGAAAGTATCTTTATGAATATCTTTTGATTCAATAGAATCAATAGATACAACAGAATCAATAGATTTGACTCAATAGAAAGTATCTTTATCAGTATCTTTTGATTTGAAAATGGCACGCAAGAATTTGCATTTTCTCACCTATGGTGTTATCAATCTATCCCACAACAGTGGAATCAGGAGCCTCAAACAAAATATTGGTTACTTACGGGTAGCTTGATTCTGTTGCGAACATTGGAACCAATAGATTTTAACTTAGTGTGATAAGCATGGTAATTCACATGCCGTATTATCTCCTCCCATATATCAGTGTCATATGGGCAGTCTTTCCATTGACACACGTAGACTTCATTGTCATCCTTTATGCTCACTTGTATACTAGGTATATGACTTGAAACATGTCTCAGAAACACTTCTATATGTTTGCTATAAAAGCTGCATTCCTTCCATTCACATGTCAGATTCAGAATCTCGTCCTTTAATTGTGTGCCCACTCTGCGTCTCTTGGCATCGCACACTGAGACTGAGTCAAACTCAGAGTCTGTGTTGTAATAATCGTCGTAGTCAAGTTCAACTGACTTTCGCTTGGCAGTGATGTCCTCGGTGTACGGATAATCCTGCAATTTCACCCACTTAATGCACCTGTCGTTTACCATTTTGTTCGGTTTGAAGTCCATTAACTCTGCCATATCGTGCACGTGGAGTCGTCGTGATAAATAACGCGGCACACCTCATGTGGTTCGCCTGTGAAAAATCATCCGCGCATTAGTGACCTCGAAAGCAACATTTGTCAACAATTTCTAACGTATTCGTGAACATTTAAATATGCCGCCAAGTAGTGACGCACAATGGAGATCGTGTTGATCGACAGTCGACGACACAATGAATCCCGCAGATCACGAGAACAGATAGAAACGTTTATCCACAACATTCAGCATCATCCTTTTCGATGTCACTTCCGATGTGAAGCGCGATACAGTGTTTTTTGTTCTAGCGATCTTACTGTGAAGACGACACGCCTCTATCGTTGTTCCATCGTTGCCTAATCGCTCGCGTCTCTCTTTTTCTCTCGTCGACATTCGTGTTGATATCTATTTTTACAGATAATTGTAGAACCGTTTGACCCCTTACCAAGACCCGTATCTCGAACGATGTTTATCTACGAGTGTCTCAGCCGAAGATCCTTCTTGACGCGAACGATCGCGCGGGCTCTGCACGAGGCACCTCACATCGCCATCAGCCGTTGCACGATCAGCTGTTTCGCGAACGAGCGAAGGGATACGACCATTTGCGCCTTGTCATCTGGTTATTTATTTATATATTTATTTATATATCGCTTATCTGGAAACGTGAAAGGCGTCTGAAACACACGGCAATGCACTGATCACTTCGCCTGCATTTTACTTAGCTACCAATAAATGCGCTTTGCCGCGCGTTTCCCCACCACGTTTGACTTGGATCAGGTAGAAATAGAAGGGTCTGTTTTTTGTTGCTGAACTAATGTACACTTTCGGAATTTAAAAAGAGACATACAGGTAAACAGGTATACAGGTAAAAGCGATACAGATAAAAAAGATAAAAGAGAATTGGTTCGGCAATCAGTTTGGAACTAGAAAACAGACCCTATATGTTGCGGAATGACTCGATTGATTTATTATACCTTTGGCCAAGTGAACCTAGATAGCACAGAGAATTCAAAAAGAATTCAAAAAGAATTCAGTCGTATGTCACCAATTATTAGTTAATTTTCAAATATAAAAAGAATTCTTCAGAGTTCAGTTCAGTGAAAAGAATTCTTTTTGTATCTAAAAATGAACTCAGAATTGGTAACCTACGACTGAATTCTTTTAGAATTCTCTGTGCTATCTAGGAAAGTATTGTTTTGATTTTACGATAAATCATTAATATTTTAAATAATCTTTGCGAATAATTTATCAAATAAACCTTGCGAATAACCGCAAGGTTAGCATTACGTAGTGAATTGAATTAATTTTTCAATCTTATTCATAGTCGACACATAGATTTCAAATGGCACTGCGTTGATCTGCAAATTCTTTCTGTAGTATTCGCATGTTTTTATCAAATTTAAATTTCATTGCTTCTTTTCTGATGAAAGTCTTTTGTCATAACACACGAGAATGTCTCGTGTGTATATCGAATCTTATAACACAGAAGCGAATGCATAACTTTTAAAGGACACGGAAAATGCGGCGTGGCGGTGGTGAGAGTATCAGGAAGTCGGTCTCTAGATGCCCTGAAGAAGATGACGAACATATCGAACCTGGAGCCGAGGAAAGCTTTTTTACGAAAGATACACGACCCTGAGACAAAGGAAGTGATCGACCATGGACTTTGCCTGTGGTTTCCTGGTAATTTCGTGTACACAATTATATTCGTAGGAAACTGAAGTGCTTATACAGCATAAGATATCCAAGATATCCCAAAGATATCCAGGGGATTGCTAAATGTCCACATAAATCCCCAAGATATCCTTACAAGATCTTGTTGCTATTAGGTATTGTGGACCCTCTTTTGTCAACAAAAGTGACTTCTAAAAGTGTCTTATATACGCAGAATATTTTACAGTAAAAATTATCGTAGAATTTTGTAGCTAAGAAATATCTTGACATTTTGTAGCACTTCACTTTATCCTTTCATTTTGTTCATATGTACTATTTATATATTTTAAAAATATATGTATATTATAATATATTTTAATATATTTTATTATGATATAATATATTATAATATATTTTAATTAATTATTATAATATATTTTAAAAATTGAAATTTGATATTAAAAAATCTGCTATGTTCCTAACGAAACTTGTTCCTTAGCAAGATAAACCTAATTCACAATCTATTTCTGGACTACTAAAAATATAGTAAAACTTAAAAGGATTTTATGAAAAAGGAAAGACTATAATGTTCTCTCTGTGTAAGTTTCCCGATTGCTTATAAGACACTTTTACCGATGAAAGAGAGTTGAAAACAAGGGTCTAATCATTCATAACTAATCAAAGTCCACACTTAACGAGGTATGAGCATACCTAACGAGAACGCAACTTTCAGGACCTCACTCGTACACCGGCGAAGACTCCGTAGAGTTTCACGTGCACGGCGGCTCGGCGATCCTTAGCCGCTTGATGCAGGCTCTTTCGACGCTGCAGGTGTATCCAGCGCAGCCAGGTGAGTTCACCAGGCGCGCCTTCTACAATAACAAGCTGGATCTTACCGAAGTGGAGGGTATAGCCGATCTGATAGAAGCGGAGACGGAGTGTCAAAGGAAACAAGCCTTGCTGCAGGCAGACGGTTTGCTTCGCAAACTGTACAGCAGCTGGAGGAAGGTGCTGTCGGAGTGCGTGGCGAGCCTCGAGGCGTACATCGACTTTGGCGAGGACGACAACATCGAGAGCGACGTAGTGGAGACCGCGCACGGCGCGCTGAGGAAGCTGATGAAGAACATAGAGGAGCACCTGGCTGACGGTAGGAAGGGCGAGATCCTGCGCAACGGAGTGAGGACCGTCATCGTTGGCGAGCCCAATGTCGGCAAGAGCAGTCTGCTGAATCACCTGGTGCAACGGAACGCCGCTATCGTTACCCCGATCGCCGGCACCACGAGGGACGTCATCGAGCTGAGCGCGAACATCTCCGGTTACCCAGTGCTGATAGCGGACACTGCCGGCATCACAGATAACACAGAAGACATCGTTGAAGTTGAGGGCGTCCGTCGGGCGAGAAAGCACGTGGTGAACGCAGACTTCGTCGTCGTTGTCGTGGACGCGTCCAGGTTCGCGGCAAGCGACGCGACGTACGGCGACTATATACGCGAGTATCTGTCGTCGTTGGGAATACACGAGCTGCTGACGAAGATGGGAAAACGGCGCTTTATCGTGATTATGAACAAGACAGACTTGCTGAGAGAAGAGGACAAAGAGCGGTTGAGCGACGTCGAAGCGGTCTTGATATCCTGCAAGATAGAAGACGGCTTTCAGGGTTTGCTACGATCGCTGACTGATCGTTTTAGGGATATGTATGTATTTACGATCACAATACATTGTTGTAAAATTAACGAAGGAAGCTCACGACACACGATCCATCAATGTTTCTTCTTTTCTTTCATGAATATGTCGCGAGATTTCTTCGAAACTTTGTAGTTGTATTTTTCATTACGATACTCAACTGATGCTTTCGTTATGATTCGCTCAGATGTGGCAATCCGTCCACGGAGAGTCCGACTATCAGTCAGGCGAGACACAGGAATCACTTGACACAGTGTCTAAAGCACCTGCAGAATTACTTCGAACTGTGCGCGACCAAGCAATATGACGTGGCTATCGCGGCGGAGGAGATCCACAAGGCGATGAGAGAACTCGGGAGGATAACAGGACACGTGAGCACCGATGAGATACTGGACATTATATTTAAAAACTTTTGTATCGGTAAATAAAGAGCCGTCGTCTCTTGTACACAAGATGCCGTTTTAAACTTCTTTACAGACTGTTCCGAGACGCCGGATGTGACTCAGATATCAGTTAAGTGTAGTACATCTTTACAGATGGTTATGGATCTTTACTATTGTAGGGAGATTTTAGTACTATTATATGATATTATTTATATATCTCGCAGTACATCTTTGAATTCGGACCCTTCGCGCAAAAAGTTTCACAAAATGTTGCGTCTCTTGTTCCATCGAGAGGCCGGGCTTTTTATAAAAGAGCTGAATTTATAAAGATTCTCCAACGCACACACCACATACGCGCACGTACACGCATGTACGTATGACACGATGAGCAGGGAAGATCGTGACACTATTCGAAGTATGATACATTGTGTCTCTGTGTGGTTGTTTCTTCGCAGTTATTGTGAAGTGAGATTTAGAGGGACTTAACTCCTTGACCTACACGCTATCTCCCGATTGCTCGGGCCATAGTCTCGGCCAAGCTCGTCTTGTTTACGTTTGGTCCGAACGAAGTACCACGAGTCAGACTCGTGCTTATTGTTTATGGACCAAATTCCTTACCACAAGTCTCACTCGTGGTTGTAGGCCAAAGGATTAAAACGTAAAAGCGGAGTTATTTGCACATATAAAGATATACACGTGAACAAATTCATCCCTTGCGCGCGCAGCGCGTAGAGCAAAATGAAATACAAAAGGAGCCTTCATAAGCATCGTACGTTTATTAACAATGTTACACGCACAATCATACATAGAACAACCTTTTGCCTGATTATAAGATATCGATACCCCATGCCTTACAGATAGGGCTTCGTAATAAGTCGTTATCTGTATGCCATGCCCGTGTCATGTTACTTAACTCGTTGCATCAATAACTCCGCTCGCTCGCGCAATAAACGACAATATATAGCTTGGCAGGCTAACGAAAAGAAAAAAAAAACAAACAAACCGATCCAGAAGAAAGGAGGAAAAAAGTAAAAATATATAAGTCGCATACGAAAAAAATTCGCTCGCGTGAGCTATGCTCGATGCTTTGTTTTTACCTCGGACGAATTCTTATATATATCTTACAGAGCTGCCGCAAAATTCAGAACTTGATGTACGATCAATGTAATCGTATAGAATTCCCTTACTACAAAAAGCCAACTAAAATAGAAATAAATAAAGATTCGAATTAACACTTAGCTCTTAACTGGTATCGTTAATTACGAAGACCGTTATACTCTGATAACATTGTCTACTCTTCGCGTGTGTTCGTGAAACAACAATTTCTCGTTCCTCACACGATAAAGTAGCAATGATGTAAATTTTGAAAAATACACGTATCTTCTTTTTCTAATTTCTTCTACGGCTTCTCTCCCTTCGTACCAGTTAAGAATTAATTTAATCTCACACGACAGATCCACACGATCTTCGCGTTGCACATAAAATCCATGGGTCGCAAACAAACTTTTTATCAAACGTGTCGCGCGAATGCAAGATCGATCAAACAATTAGATACAATAATAATGATCAAATAAACTCAACACGTGCAGAAATTAAAATGGACAAACGAGATTTATCATCCGTTGATGTCCGTATTCTATTATATAAATTCGATTGTTTTTCATCTGCTTTTCGCGGAGTATGCTGCTTGTTCGTATAATTCCATAAAACATGAGATCTATCCGAGAACATACACGCCACATGTCTAAGACACATTATTACGTTCTAGTCGCGAAACGTACTCGCGACTTATCTTCAAGATCGTCTTCACTTTCTATCTATACGTAACACTCGATTTTTCTCCACTACTGCTTCCTTTTTGTTTCTTTATAAGTCTTAAAAAACACCACACTATCGCGATTCATTCGATGGGAGCGGAAAATTCGCGCTACATCTTTTCGTTTTCGCTCAGGTAAAGCTAAGAACGACCTCGCGCAGAAGAAACGAAAATATATTTTTTAATCCTTAAGCGCTTCAGATTCCGTCTCTTCGATGTCGCGCGACGAAAAATCGTAGCAGGTCTTGAGGATTAATGCGAACTTGGTGAACCGTGATCGTGTACATCCGTTATGATAAAAAAAAAGAACCTCGAAATGATCATGCGAACAACCGTAGTTGAATCGCGCGAGCCAAAAGGAGTTATCAATAAGAGTTATTAATTAAATGTACATAAATATACATTATCTCGCAATAATTTTAGATAGAAGTAGCCGATGCACACACAATTTATCGTTGAACATGTACTCTTTGTTTGCTTTTTTTCCTCACAAAAGTTTACAATCGTGTTGGGTAACCTTCAAATTTCACCTCAGGCAAAAAATCAGAACGAAGTATCAGTTAACGCGAGATTAGATAAACTCGCCATAATAAAACCGTATTGCTTTAAATTCTATATATCGACCATTCTATCCATAACAAAGTGGCACTATTTGCACTGAAATCGCAAATCGAAATACACGCCTGTTGAGTCGACGCAAACCACGGATAAACGCGAACGGCCCAAGAGGTCCCACGCATCGCACATCGATCGTGGAGGATATGAACGAGAAAAGGGAGGCGAAGAGAAGTCTGTCGAGGATCGAGTCGAAAACTTGTCGGTCCCTTTTCTCGTCCCGCTGGCTCGTCCTGAAAACCTATCCTCGTGCCCTCACAGGAGACGTTCACTCGTCTATCTATCGCCAGTACGTCCCTAACGCCTTTGTATTTAATAGCGGAGGATATGAGAAAAGAAAAGCGAAAGCAAAAGATCTGTCGTGGATCGTATCGAAGATCCGTCGGTTCCTTTTCTCATCCCTAATAATTGGTCCACGAAGACCGCCTTCCCAGTCCTCCATGCCCGAGGTGGCACCAAGAAGTCCGCTTCGTCTGTTTTCGTTCTTTCTCTTTTTCTTTGCGTCTGTTCTTTTCCCTCTTATGTTCCTTTCTATCAACTCTGGTTAACTCAACTCGCCGATTATTTTAGCGGTATTGATCAATCTCATTTGTCGACTCTGACTAACGAGAAATGCGATTGGTCAATTCTGTTGGAGTAATCAACCGGTTGAGTTAACCAAAGTTGATAGAAACGAATATTAGACTTTCTTTTCCTTTTATTCTAGACAATCTCCCTTTCCTCTTCTTTTTTTTAGTTTTTTTTTCTTTTCATTTTTTTATTATTTATTTTGATCGTATCGAACACATTACGATACTTCTTATTTCTCTCTATAACTAACTGACCAGCTCTTGGCTTCCACCCGCGAAGTATCGCCGTGCTTGAGGCTCGTCGACGGTACTTCGGTGAAATGCAATTCGAGTTTTTGGGAATTAACTCCGAGAGACTCGTTCTCCCGATCGTTAAAGGCGCTAAACACGACGCTGCGATCATTCTGTGCGTCACCCAACGAATTTTCATTAAATCAGTTTCGAGGAATCAGGGTATTATTGGATCTACACACATATAGGGCGTTCGACGCGAATCATGTATCCGCTCGTGTGCAGGCAGGACTTATTCAACTGCGTGGAAAAGTCCTGTATTACTTTGCAAACAACCGTGTGATTTTTTAAATGTCCATTGTAGAAAATTTGGGCAAACGAGTGCGCGGATGATGCAGTGGGACGAACTCTTCAGATTCATCCAAAATAGAGTCAACTAAAATGTTTGGATCAATTGAGACAATTTCTTGGCAACGACAGGCGGTATGTACTGCCGGACAGTGAATAAAAGCATGTATCTCAGCCATTTTAAATGAGACTTCATTTTGAGCAAGCCTAAAACACGATGATGGTATCCATATAGATGACAACTGTATGAGTTTTGTATTTGCAGAATTAATATATATAGTTTATGAAAACTATATACAATTCTCAACTATACACAATCATCAGGTTTTTCTCTCAGTGCACCGCGTCGCGCGCAATCGTTTGTCAATTTTCAATAATCAGTATCTCAAAAATTCACGCAGTTGCTTGCAAAACGATAGAGGACGTTTTCATGGCGTTTAACGAGTTCTACCTGCCTACGAGGGGACATGCGAATCGTATCAGACATCCTGTACATATACATACATGTATGTAATAAATTGCTTCATAACGGCAGGCGAAATTGGAGACCTTCGGTACGGAATTTTACGAGATCTATAAAAAAAAAAAAAAAAAAAAAAAAAAAAAAAAAAAAAAAAAAAAAAAAAAAAAAAAAA